ACACCAAGGATGGAATTATGTAACTAGAATGGGAGAGAGTTCTCCACAACTTTCCACATCCTGTTCATGGACAATCCACATCTACATATTTCATGGTCATTGAATTAAGTATACTGAGTCACCTGTTTGCATATAAAGTCTGGGGTATGTTCCTGACATTTTTTTACAACTGAAGAAGTGGCTTGGAGAAGCTAAGAAACATCTTCAACATTACAGAACGAGTCCAGCTGAGTGTGACCAACTACTACTAGCTCTTCAAAGTAGTCCTCGCATCAGATATATTTGTACATGTATAACACTTCCAGGTGTGTACCACTAATAGCGATCACAACACTCCTCCTGACAATGCCTTCATCTCCCTTTCTTCCCAGACCGGTGGCACCATCTCTGTTCAGGTATTCATAGGTAGCATCTACTTTCTGGTGTATGGGAGACACGGTCATGGAAATCGTAGTGCTGTCATCTTCAGGTGCTTTTCACACATAAGTATCTGCCCAAATGGTAAATGCACTTTTAGTGCAGTTACAATGATTTGGGTATAATACCCATCCACACCCTTTTGCCAAGACTAATACTTGTCGCCGCTCTGCTGTGTGCCCTTCACGCAAAATCTTCACTGTCAGGGCCGGCTCCTCCCGACCATGCCCACCGCAACCCCTGTTTAATCTTATGGAGATTTTAAACTCTGCAGTTACACTGGAAGATCTTTAAAATTTGCCATAATTGTGCTGTCCAAGCAAACCTATCTGAAATAAAATAAAGACAAAGAGCGACATCAGTGCAATTCAAGTGCCTTCAGGAGGTTGTAGCAATTTCCTGTGTGCCTCAGGAGCCTCAAAACAGATGACAAACGCACTCATCAATTCGTCAACAGCTTTACAGTAAGGTGCAAACACTGGGAGCCTCAAACACTGGGCGTCCTAAAATATAAATCAAAGTTAAACACTTAGGGTACACCTCTTGTGACTCACTGTTGGTTACTGAAGCCTCCTACCCTCTTTGAAGAGATGCTGTCACTTTTTCCCTGAATGCCAAAGTCAGTACCCCCACCCCCTAATACTCACCTTGCCAGTGCTCCATCCTGCATCGCAGATGGCACTAAAATACCCGATGTTGGCTAATGTTGGACACTAGGAGGAGCGGTTATGCCATTCCCTCAATCATGTGACCTATACTAGTGACTTACAGGGTTTTCCACAAAAGGGTGAGGAGTTTGGAGGAGACAGTAGAGGTTTGGATACACGTCTTCTGCAGAAAATGTGAAAGCCGCACAGCTGCGCCAAGGCACCAAGTGCGGTCCTAACTCTAAACTATCAGAGCCTCCATCTTGGAGCACATGGGGGCAGAAGATAAAATTGGGTGCAGGTTTGTCAGGAGGAAGCCCAACCCCCTTAAAGGCACAGAGACACACAAGGGATCCCGCACATCACAATGGCCGCTGAGACCCCCCATGCATCACTGCACCAAAACAGTCAAGCAAAACAGATGACAAACGCACTCATCAATTCGTCAACAGCTTTACAGTAAGGTGCAAACACTGGGAGCCTCAAACACTGGGCGTCCTAAAATATAAATCAAAGTTAAACACTTAGGGTACACCTCTTGTGACTCACTGTTGGTTACTGAAGCCTCCTACCCTCTTTGAAGAGATGCTGTCACTTTTTCCCTGAATGCCAAAGTCAGTACCCCCACCCCCTAATACTCACCTTGCCAGTGCTCCATCCTGCATCGCAGATGGCACTAAAATACCCGATGTTGGCTAATGTTGGACACTAGGAGGAGCGGTTATGCCATTCCCTCAATCATGTGACCTATACTAGTGACTTACAGGGTTTTCCACAAAAGGGTGAGGAGTTTGGAGGAGACAGGAGAAGTGAACAATCTAGGACAAAATAGCTGAACTGGAAAGTGACCTGAATTGGAGAATTTTTCCAAATTGGCTATTTTGGCCTAGATTGTTCACTTCTCCTGTCTCCTCCAAACTCCTCACCCTTTTGTGAATAACCCTGTTAATACTAGACTAGAGCTCTGTCATGTGGGAGGAGGTTACACGCTCATCTATAGCCAGAAGGTATTTTTGCTGGCGTATGCAGTGGTAGGAGCAGTATGGAAGGCTGGATGGACCTGCCAGCACTAAGAATTGGCATTGACATATTAGAGCATCCAGTGTTCCTGGACTTCTGGGAAAGCCATCAAGCCGCTGAAAGAAACCTTCAGACACCTTAGACTGCATTGCATTCATCTTGGCACTCACTATATCTAGTTTTTATTGATGACAGTTTTACTAACAGGGCTATTCACAAAAGGGTAAAGGGTTTGGAGAAGGCCGGAGAAGTGAACAATCTAGGACAACATAGCTGATTGGGAAAATTCTCCAATTCAGCTCACTTTCCAGTTCAGCTATGTTGTCCTAGATTGTTCCCTTCTCCTGCCTTCTCCAAACTCTTCACCCTTTTGTGAATAGCCCTGTAAAAGTTAATAAAAGGCTTGTGCAAGTGACACAATGTATACATTTAATAGAAATTTAAAAAAAATGAACAGCACTATGTGTTCTCTAAAAAGACAACACTGTCTCCCTTTTTGCCTTTTAAACCTTGGACTGAGCCATATGGAGCCTAGTAGAGAGGATGGAAGAGTCACCTCTCTGGGCAATTCACTTGTGTGTGCCAATTGTAGCTTGAGTTACTGAGCTCTGTGACCAACAGACTTTTTTTAACTACAAAAAGTAAGTAGAAACTGGAAAAAAACACTAAAATGATCCTACAGCTCCATCTACTGCCTCCATATTAGAATACATAATATTCACCTGACTAAAGAAAAATAAATGAGATACAAGCAGTCCCCAACTTACAGACGTCCGCCTCACGGACAACCCGTACTTACGGACCGAGGTCCACAGTTCTCCTAAATGTACCGGCAGCCGTGAGCGCCGGTACATACAGCTATCACTCAGTGTCACAGACTTTACTGCAGTTCATTGTAAAAAAACTTTGTACAATGAACTGTAGTAAAGCCGGTGACACTGAGTGACAGCTGTATGTCCCCGGGCCGGCGGCTGCTGTTACATTTAGGAGAATTGTGGCTGCAGCGGCCTGTGTCCCTTCAAGTCCCCGCTGCTCTCCCCACCTGTGTTGGCGGAGGCAGCAGGGACACAGACCACTGCATTCCTCCGCTGCTCCCCGTACCTCCGCTGCTGTTCCGGCCGGTTCCTCCTCCTCTCCCGGTCCATCCGCTTCTCTTCCCCCTGTCCGACGCTCCTCCGGTGCGGCCGCTGCTCCTCTGCCCAGCCCCCCTGCCTCCTCTTCATCTGCAGGCTATGAGACATACCCAGCCTGCTATTGGATATTGTAAAATGCAATAGCCAATAGCAGGCTGGCTATTGCACCCGCCCACTGCCTGTTGTCAATCAGCATGGAGGACCTGATAGAGAACTTTCTCCTTCAGGCCCCTCCCTCTGCTGATTGACAGCAGGCAGATGCAATAGCCAGCCTGCTATTGGCTATTGCAATTTGAGATATCCAATAGCAGGTGGGCTATTGCTCCCAGCATTAAAGGAACATTTTAAAAAAAGACAAAAAATGTAAAAGGTAAAAAAGTTAAATACATAAAAATTAAAAATGCAAACAAGTAAAAAAAAAAATTAAGTTTATAAAATAAAGTTAAAAATAGAAAAAAACTTTTTGTTGGTGTGTCTTTTTAAATAAAAGTTTTTTTAAAATTGTATTATAATCTTCTGAACATGGGGAACAGACAGCAAAACAAACGTGACCCTTACATGTGCTATTCAAAACTAAAAAAATGTTTTTTTGGGCTGGAGTTACACTTAAAAATGTACCTGTTCCGATTTACATACAAATTCAAGTTAAGTACAAACCTAAAGTCCCGATCTTATATGTAACCCGGGGAGGACTGCCTGTTTTTTTAGTCCTGACCATAATAAATGAAGAAAATAGCTCTGTAGCTCTCCGCTTTTCTTCCCTGAACTTCCTGCGGGCAATAAGGTCACTAGGGAAAGCAAGGTCTACAGCAGCTCCATCTACTAGCTTGGAAAAGCTAGTAGATGGAGAAGCAGGGCGTAAGGGAGTGGATTGCCTTGCCACCCCTGTGTGTTTGTAGGGACACACACAGCTTACTAGCATATACAAGGTTAGCTTTGTAGGACCCTGCAAGGGAAAGGAGCCACCCTAAACCAGGATATCAGGGGCAGTGCTCAGAGGACCAGCTGATTTTGTAGGCAGCTAAAACTTTTATATATTAAGAAACAGCATCCATTGTAAGTGATTTAAAAGAGAACTATGAGGTGGGTGCTTTTCACTCATCCTCATAGTTCTAGCCGACCTGTGACAATGAGACTGGCACAGGTCGGCTCAGTAGATCGGGAGGTGAGCGAACACATACCGGCGTTCGCTCACTTCTCGATCCTGTCACGGCTCTCTGCCATGACAGGGGAGGGGCTGGATCCCCCAGCACTGACTGGCGGAACGGACGTCGGAGGGGCGGGTACAGCTGGCTCTGCCTCTAGATAGGCAGAGCAAGCTGTCACTCACGCAGCTGGGTGGATCCAGACATAATTGTCGGGATCCGCTTCAGCTGTGGCGTCTCATTATACCGCGAGCTGTAGCTCTCTATATACTGAGCTTAGGGTGATTGGAGGACGCTAGTTTGTGTCCTCCCGTTACCCTAAGCAGAACTATGGGAAAAGCCCTGACCCCATAGTTCTCCTTTAAGCTTAACATGGACCCATTGCTTTTCAGAATACTCTATCCTGTCCCTTTTCCAGGTGCTGTCTGTAACCTATCAAACATGTCATTGCACGCTCACTGGATTATTTTTTATTGTTTTAATAATTCTGTTTATCTTTAAATGCGAAACAGTGTTACCTTCATTGTCTTTCTCTAATGAATGTGTGATTATTGTTACGTCATGTGTGTAATTTTCTTTGCTGAGTGAGTTATGCTTTAATTAAATCACTTGGCGTTTTGTTATTTTAGGCGTTACAGTCAAGTTGATGAGTCAGCAGAAGGTATATTAAAATGGGAGCAGCAGATGGTTGGTGAGACCAGCCAGAAGCACCATGGGGACCGCGTAAATAATTATTACCACCATCGGGCTTCGCAAGGATTAACGTCATGTCATTACCAAAGATTCAAGTAGAGGAAGTGGACCATGATGCAGAGAGCAGCTCCATCCCACCAGGTGACGACCACCTAAGGAACTTGAAGGCCCTGACGGAGAAGCTGAGGTTAGAAACCCGTAGGCCATCGTACCTAGAATGGAAGGCAAAGCTCGAGGATCAGCCGTGGAAGAACCCAGAAGCTCCCGTGGAACAAGAAGTTCAGGAAACCGGCCAAGGTGATGACGAGACATTAGCACCACTCGAGCTGAAACAGATTCAGGAAATCTCGGGTGCCCCCAAACAGAACTCTCCGGAGTCAAAGAAAATACACGGCTTTGATAGTATTGATGAAGCCCTTACCTGGCTAAGGAAGGAGCTGGTAAGTGGTTTTTATTTTCTCCTTTAACTGCAGTAGGAAATGTACTAAAGAAATCAATTGTCTATTGCTGGAAATGAGAAGATAACATTGTCCATTAAGGGCTCTATGTAATGGGTCACATACTTTGCACGTTAGTTTGGTTGGATTTCATAAGAATAATCCATAATATTGATCAGGACAAGGA